CAGCAGCATATGTATATATGTACTGTTTCTGATTAGAATTGGCTCTTTAGAGTAAATTTTTAAAGCTTAAGTAAAGTGCTTTACATGATAGAATCTTTTCTTGAGGTTTTGAAAAGATAGTTTATCATGATGAATAGAAAGTGTGGACTTTAGAGTTAGATCCAAGTTCCAAATCAAGCTTTCCCATTGACCGTGACCTTGGGAGGTTACTAAATATCACTTCTATTTTCCTGTCTGTGAAAAGAGGGCGATCATTCCTTGTAGGTTGTTACAAGGAATGAATTAAATATTTAATGAGTGGTACATAGTAAGTTCTCAACAAGTGATGGATGTTCTTTTTATTATTAGAAGGCATTAAGTAAGCAGGGAGAAACTTGCATTTTAAATGTTTTACGTAAAAAGGAAACTCATAAATTAATTTTAATTTATGTTGCTCCATTCTTCCAAACAAGCCCTGGTGTGACAGTCTCCAGTTATTTATAAACTTATTTGTATATTGTACCAGTAACAGTATTTGTTCAATTTAGTCAACATCTGGCTTTGCATAAGTAATTAGAAATTCTGATCTTTAAATACCATTCAGAGGACTCAAGGGGTTTTCTAAACAGATGGATTCATATCTATGATTCTTATCTTCCCTACTTATTTGCAAGAGATTGAGACTCAAAAAAGATAATAGTGGGTCCTCCCTTCACCACATTCTGTCCCTGTTGTTGTTAGGGGCCTTCAAGTGAAGTAAGACTCCGCAACCATATGAACAATAGATCTGAATCCTGTCTTATTCTGTGTCATCCTTACCAGCTCTGATACACTTGAGCCCATTGATACAGTCACCGTATCAGTCCATCTTGTTGGAGGTCTTCCTGTCTTTTGCTGACCCTCCACTCTACCCCTACATCCCCCTAAAGCCTATTACAAGTATCCCCAGTAATTTCAATTGAGAAGACAACAGTATATAATTATATTTCAATAAAATTTTTTAAAAGTGAACAGTAGTAGAAAAAGGGTTAGACAACCATAGAACCTGCTTCTATGATCATCTTCATTTTCTTAGCAGAATCCTTAGCTCCTGTCCTTCTATCTTTTGCACTTAGTTCCTTTCCCCTGGAAAGAAATGTCCTATTTGAAGAAACGCCAACCTTTGTTTTGAGCATCTTCAGAGCACTAGCCCCATCCTGTTTCCATCATTATATGCATATATTCTGATGCTTAATATTATTCTAGCTTTATTGTGACATATATTTATAAGGTACAGTTCAGTGGTTGTTTTAGTATATTCACGAATGTGGGCATGCATCATTCTCCTATCTCCCCAATCGCCTCCTCCCAGCTTTAGATAAACACCAGTCTACTTTTTTGTCCCTACAAAGTTGCCTATTCTGGGCTTTAGTATAATTTTTTAACTCTCTGACTGACTTTGTTCACTAACATTAAGTTTTAAAGATCTAGCCAACGTTTTGATACATTGACTCATTTTGTATTAATGCTTTATTTCTTTTTATGACCAACATTCCATTGTGCATTCTGCATTCTGTTTATCTACTCATCATTGATGGCTGCTTAAGTTCTTTCTGCCTTTTGGATTTTACAAATAATACTGCTATAAACATTTGTATACTAGTCTTTGGGTTGACCTATATTTTTATTTTTGTTGGATATATACTTCTTGTTCTTGTCAGTGGCTTTGAATTGAGTATGACTCATAGTGATGCCATGAACA